CTGATGTTGGAGAGGGGGCGGATTGTATTTTATACGTAGGGAACAGGGGGAAGAGTGTATTTTATGTGGGGCCAGGGAGCTTTATGGTAATATTGTTAAAGTTGTTAATATTTATTTTGTAACTTTATTCTGCATAAAACATGTAACAGTATAATTTTGATAAGATTATTTAGAGGGAGTTAAGGCCGCGGCAGGGTAGGGGTTAGATGGGCAACTGGTGGCGAGTAACTCTTAAAGAACTATGGGGTTAAGGCTTTTCCCCATAGTTCTCCTTAGGGTAACGGGAGGACACAAACTGGCGTCCTCCCGTCACCCTAGGCTCAGTATAGCGCGAGCTGCTGCTCGCGGTATACTGAGACGCTGAAGTGGATTCCGACAATTGTGCCGGGATCTGCCCAGCTGTGTGACTGACAGATGGCTCTGCCTATCTAGAGGCAGAGCCAGCTGTACCCGCCCCCACCCGTCCGTTCCGCCAGTCAGCGCTGGCGGAGTGGGGAGGGGGGAATCCAGCCCCTCCCCTGTCATGGCAGAGAGCCGTGACAGGATCGAAAGGTGAGCGAACGCCGGGAATGTGTTCGCTCACCTCCCGATCTACTGAGACGACCTGTAACAGTCTCATTGTCACAGGTCGGCTAGGACTATGAGGTGAGTGAAAAGCACTCGCCTCATAGTTCTCCTTTTTAAGGCCTGGCTAGTAGCTCAGGACTTAAAATTTTGACCCCTGCTTTAGAGGATTGTCTTTAACAGATTGTCTTTTTCAGCTAGAGTTCTGGAGTTTGAATTTTAAGCAGGCTTTATTCTCTGGTTATTCTGAATACAATGGGGCTCATAGGTTGCTGGCCCTGTTTAGGTGGAACACGAGATGATCTCAAGGTGATTTTTGTTGGATAGAAGATTCCTGAAATTGGCATTTAGTTGTCAGTTTGTCTGTATTGATGGCTGATGCTAGCATAAAAGAGGAAGCAGAGTGATCTGTGTGCCTTCTGAAATTGTCACCCTCGTCAATGTTGGATACCAAAAACTGCAATGGCTTTGTTTTTTTTGCCTTTTTAGTTTAAACTTGGTGTAAAATATATATATATATTTTTTTTTGTACAGAAATCCTTGGAAGAACAAACTGGCTGCCTTTTGAAATTCTCAGGAGACTTGGACAATATGACATCCAGGGAAGATATTCATGCCTTATTTCAAGATCATGGTGAAATCAAGTGGATTGACTTCAGTAGGGGTTCTAAGGAGGTAAGTCTTTATATTTTTTTGTGTATTTCAACTAGTAATATTGGCCCCCTAAATCCCTTGCGTTATTTCCTTTTATTAAAATGGATGGTCAATCTAAGTGACTCTGACCGTAGCAGTAGCAAGCAGGGAAGACAAATTTTGTAAGTCTCCTGTGAAGACTTCTAATTTGCTGCCCTGAGATATGAAGTCTGGGTAATTCGGCCCGATGGCCATAACCCATGACTGCAATACATTTGGGTTGACTAAAGGCAAACAAAAATGTAACAGGCATGTAAGACTTAAGTGACTATCTTTGTTTGCTTTCTGCTATGTGGCTTAGGAGGCCAGTGATGAGATGAGTTGTTTCTTCTACATTGTCCTGTTTTTCCCTCCTAGGGAATTATCCTGTTTAAGAGTGATGCCAAGGGAGCCTTGGAGAAAGCCAAGGCTGCAAATAAAGACAACTTACAGTTGAAAGAAAAGGATGTAGTCTGGGAGCTCCTGGAAGGTGATGTAGAGAAGGCTGCATTAAAGAAAATCATGGAGAACCAACAAGAATCCTACAATAGGTGGAAAGGCAAAGGTTGGTATAAGCTGTTTTATAGGGTAGCTGTTGAGACGTGTAAAACTTTTATTCAAACCCAATGGTATTTGAAAATGCAAATGGGAAGAAATGTCTAAAGATTTCCTGGCTCTTTGGATCTTCTCTTTAAGAAAGGGAGAAGAAAAAGCTGTGCCCAGTCTGTAGGAGACATGTCCCCCTAGCACAAGTGGACAAAGTGCAGTAATCATAGCAAACAGATTAAAAAGTCCAAAAGCCTATTTGGTTAAAAAAAATTCTTATGTATATTTTACAATTTCCAAACCTATTGTAGCTGGTGAGGCCTAAAACATTTTTTTTCTGAGGGGGCATGTGTAGTAATCCACTCAACTCTAACTAGAATTTTTAAAGTTGTAATGTTTCAGGAACTTTGGTATGCCTCACAGGCCCCTGTAGAGGTGGGGTGTGGATACAATGGACAGCCTGAAATATCTGATGACCAGTGCTGCCAGAAATGGTTTACCATAAATCCAGATTAGCTTTCAGTCATTCAGGGGCTGCATGTTAGGTGGCCCTTGAACACTTTCTTGTCCAGCCATTTGAAGCAGACGTTTGCTGGCTTAGAAAGTCAACATTGCTCCATATTGAGGCCACTTGTGAAACTTCTAAAGTTATCTAATGTGTATATGGGGTACTTTAGAACATTCCACCGGAACTTATACTCTGCCCCCAACTGGATTGGATGGTGTTTGGATTTTTTTATGTTGGTTTGTGTGAATGGTGGCTTTATATGTAACTTGCTGTTCCATTAAATATTTGTTTTTACCCTACAGGTGGTAAGAAGTTTAAAGGCAAAGGAAAGGGAGGTAGAGGAAATGATAGCTCATCCAAGAAGAGAATTCAGTACCAAGGAAAGAAAAAGAAGTTTGAAAGCAGTGACGAAGAAGACATAGAAGGTAATTCATTACAGCTTTATTTAACTAGTGCCCCACAGGAGCAGCTTTACAGCGTTTAATGTAAACTTATGTGGATTCAGATGGTGTAAATGGGTTTCAAATGGTTTGTCAGTGGAACATTTTAAAGACAGATTTCTTTCAGGCAAACTGTGTGAGGCCCCTTACTTTTGTCTTCAATTTATAGGAGCACCACTAAAGCTGGCCATACACCTATAGATTATCTGCAGGTTTTCTATGGCCAGATGGAAAAAGTACAACAGATTCCCCCATCTAGTCTAAACTGTGTGGATGGAGGAATCTCCCACTGGGAGAAAGCTTCAGTATCTTGCTAGTCTGTGCCGTTGGTTCTCAAAACACCTGAACAATGCCGGCATCCAATCAGATTGTTCAGGATTATGTGGTGCAGGGGGCGGAGTGTATTTTATACGTAGGGAACAGGGGGAAGAGTGTATTTTATGTGGGGCCAGGGAGCTTTATGGTAATATTGTTAAAGTTGTTAATATTTATTTTGTAACTTTATTCTGCATAAAACATGTAACAGTATAATTTTGATAAGATTATTTAGAGGGAGTTAAGGCCGCGGCAGGGTAGGGGTTAGATGGGCAACTGGTGGCGAGTAACTCTTAAAGAACTATGGGGTTAAGGCTTTTCCCCATAGTTCTCCTTAGGGTAACGGGAGGACACAAACTGGCGTCCTCCCGTCACCCTAGGCTCAGTATAGCGCGAGCTGCTGCTCGCGGTATACTGAGACGCTGAAGTGGATTCCGACAATTGTGCCGGGATCTGCCCAGCTGTGTGACTGACAGATGGCTCTGCCTATCTAGAGGCAGAGCCAGCTGTACCCGCCCCCTCCCGTTCCGCCAGTCAGCGCTGGCGGAGTGGGGAGGGGGGAATCCAGCCCCTCCCCTGTCATGGCAGAGAGCCGTGACAGGATCGAAAGGTGAGCGAACGCCGGGAATGTGTTCGCTCACCTCCCGATCTACTGAGACGACCTGTAACAGTCTCATTGTCACAGGTCGGCTAGGACTATGAGGTGAGTGAAAAGCACTCGCCTCATAGTTCTCCTTTTTAAGGCCTGGCTAGTAGCTCAGGACTTAAAATTTTGACCCCTGCTTTAGAGGATTGTCTTTAACAGATTGTCTTTTTCAGCTAGAGTTCTGGAGTTTGAATTTTAAGCAGGCTTTATTCTCTGGTTATTCTGAATACAATGGGGCTCATAGGTTGCTGGCCCTGTTTAGGTGGAACACGAGATGATCTCAAGGTGATTTTTGTTGGATAGAAGATTCCTGAAATTGGCATTTAGTTGTCAGTTTGTCTGTATTGATGGCTGATGCTAGCATAAAAGAGGAAGCAGAGTGATCTGTGTGCCTTCTGAAATTGTCACCCTCGTCAATGTTGGATACCAAAAACTGCAATGGCTTTGTTTTTTTTGCCTTTTTAGTTTAAACTTGGTGTAAAATATATATATATATTTTTTTTTGTACAGAAATCCTTGGAAGAACAAACTGGCTGCCTTTTGAAATTCTCAGGAGACTTGGACAATATGACATCCAGGGAAGATATTCATGCCTTATTTCAAGATCATGGTGAAATCAAGTGGATTGACTTCAGTAGGGGTTCTAAGGAGGTAAGTCTTTATATTTTTTTGTGTATTTCAACTAGTAATATTGGCCCCCTAAATCCCTTGCGTTATTTCCTTTTATTAAAATGGATGGTCAATCTAAGTGACTCTGACCGTAGCAGTAGCAAGCAGGGAAGACAAATTTTGTAAGTCTCCTGTGAAGACTTCTAATTTGCTGCCCTGAGATATGAAGTCTGGGTAATTCGGCCCGATGGCCATAACCCATGACTGCAATACATTTGGGTTGACTAAAGGCAAACAAAAATGTAACAGGCATGTAAGACTTAAGTGACTATCTTTGTTTGCTTTCTGCTATGTGGCTTAGGAGGCCAGTGATGAGATGAGTTGTTTCTTCTACATTGTCCTGTTTTTCCCTCCTAGGGAATTATCCTGTTTAAGAGTGATGCCAAGGGAGCCTTGGAGAAAGCCAAGGCTGCAAATAAAGACAACTTACAGTTGAAAGAAAAGGATGTAGTCTGGGAGCTCCTGGAAGGTGATGTAGAGAAGGCTGCATTAAAGAAAATCATGGAGAACCAACAAGAATCCTACAATAGGTGGAAAGGCAAAGGTTGGTATAAGCTGTTTTATAGGGTAGCTGTTGAGACGTGTAAAACTTTTATTCAAACCCAATGGTATTTGAAAATGCAAATGGGAAGAAATGTCTAAAGATTTCCTGGCTCTTTGGATCTTCTCTTTAAGAAAGGGAGAAGAAAAAGCTGTGCCCAGTCTGTAGGAGACATGTCCCCCTAGCACAAGTGGACAAAGTGCAGTAATCATAGCAAACAGATTAAAAAGTCCAAAAGCCTATTTGGTTAAAAAAAATTCTTATGTATATTTTACAATTTCCAAACCTATTGTAGCTGGTGAGGCCTAAAACATTTTTTTTCTGAGGGGGCATGTGTAGTAATCCACTCAACTCTAACTAGAATTTTTAAAGTTGTAATGTTTCAGGAACTTTGGTATGCCTCACAGGCCCCTGTAGAGGTGGGGTGTGGATACAATGGACAGCCTGAAATATCTGATGACCAGTGCTGCCAGAAATGGTTTACCATAAATCCAGATTAGCTTTCAGTCATTCAGGGGCTGCATGTTAGGTGGCCCTTGAACACTTTCTTGTCCAGCCATTTGAAGCAGACGTTTGCTGGCTTAGAAAGTCAACATTGCTCCATATTGAGGCCACTTGTGAAACTTCTAAAGTTATCTAATGTGTATATGGGGTACTTTAGAACATTCCACCGGAACTTATACTCTGCCCCCAACTGGATTGGATGGTGTTTGGATTTTTTTATGTTGGTTTGTGTGAATGGTGGCTTTATATGTAACTTGCTGTTCCATTAAATATTTGTTTTTACCCTACAGGTGGTAAGAAGTTTAAAGGCAAAGGAAAGGGAGGTAGAGGAAATGATAGCTCATCCAAGAAGAGAATTCAGTACCAAGGAAAGAAAAAGAAGTTTGAAAGCAGTGACGAAGAAGACATAGAAGGTAATTCATTACAGCTTTATTTAACTAGTGCCCCACAGGAGCAGCTTTACAGCGTTTAATGTAAACTTATGTGGATTCAGATGGTGTAAATGGGTTTCAAATGGTTTGTCAGTGGAACATTTTAAAGACAGATTTCTTTCAGGCAAACTGTGTGAGGCCCCTTACTTTTGTCTTCAATTTATAGGAGCACCACTAAAGCTGGCCATACACCTATAGATTATCTGCAGGTTTTCTATGGCCAGATGGAAAAAGTACAACAGATTCCCCCATCTAGTCTAAACTGTGTGGATGGAGGAATCTCCCACTGGGAGAAAGCTTCAGTATCTTGCTAGTCTGTGCCGTTGGTTCTCAAAACACCTGAACAATGCCGGCATCCAATCAGATTGTTCAGGTATTTTGACAGCCAGCGGGGCCGACTAGCAAGCTACTGAAGCTTGGCCCAGCGGGAGATTCCTCCATCCACACTTTAGCGTAGATGGAGGAATCTGTTGCACTTTTTCCATCTGACAATCAAAAATCTGCATTTAACCTATAGGTGTATGGCCAGCTTTAGACTAGTAGAGGGGGGGGCAGAGAAGCAGTTTGACCCAATTGGGCTCTGCTGTAATTAACCTGCTGCAAGGGACCTAATCAGCAGGCTGGGTATAGGGCTGCCTGGATCAAAAACTAAGAAGGATGACCTTTTGATTTTCTCTGCAGAAGTAAAAAGCAGGGAAAATATCCTAAAAGGCAGCTGGTATTTTGCTGGTTCACTCACTAAGCATGGTCTTGTAGAATAAACCAATGAGCTGCTGCAGCATAGCAGTGTCCATTTTATATCCTGGTTTGCTTCTTGGTATTCAGAATAAAGCATCTGGCTGTAGAACAGAAGATTTAGTAGTTTTGTAGATGCTGATTTTTCAAGTTTTTTTTTTTTTTTTCCACCCAGAAGGAGCAGGTGATGCCAAAAATGGAAGTCCCAAGAAGAGGCAGCTGGAGGAGAAATCCACCGACGAACCAGAGCCAAAGCAACAGAAGACCGAAGCTGGAGACAAGTAACACTCTGCTTAGGGTTTTAGATGTTTTTCTTTTTTTAAGAAAAAAAACAAAATCCCCAAAAAATTGGATGCATATTTTAAGTCTACAGATGCTGAGTGTCAGTCGAATGAGAATCTGATAAAATCCACGTCTATGTCAACCTGCAAGGAATTTTCATTTTGGTTACTTTGTCATTGGATGAATGGCACTTGTAAATTGCTAACTGAAACTTTATATTTATGTTTTTGTTAATACAGATTAGTAAATCTTCAGAAATCATAATGTACTTTTTGACACCTTACATGTAAAATATTCAATAAAAAGTAAATTGTACTTTGCTTTTATAAATTGAACATAAAAATGTGGTAATGACTCTGTTAACATTTTGATTTGGTTGAACTTGGCAGTATGGGGTACAGGTTATTTCGGGAACAATGGGAATCACTTAGACCTTTTTACCCATATCTTCAAAATAAGACTCTTTTAGAAATGTTCAGTAATGACCATCTACAAACCTACTTCTTTTAACAGTGGCCATATTTACTAAGGGCAGATTAATAGCTCTCCTTTTACCTCCTGGATTTTTGGCACATGTGACCATGCACATCATCTCAGGGGAGCTAATTGCATTTCTAGATGAGATTTCCCAGCAATGCTCTGCTAATAAGGCAATCCCAATGTGCATTGCATTGGCAAACTGAAGCCATTTTGCCCTTTCTCTAGTGCTAAGTGTAAGCATTTTAAAATCAAAGCATTTTACACCTGACATTGCTGATACATAGAGGGATGCAGTGGTAGAATCTGACTTAGAGTTTGAAGGTCCACTTTTGAACAAAACCTGGATTCTGTACTTTCAGTTTTATGATCTGTTTACTATAGGCGATAAACCTTCTAGGGTTTAGGGCTCATCTCCCGTGCCTGGAATGCAAGGGATTGCATACTGGGGTAGGAGGAGGCGTGGCAATGCAGACACACTTTCCACCCGCAATGTGATCAGCTGCACAGGACTGCATGGTAATGCCCTGCGTTCCAGTGCAGTACGATCGAGGAAAAAAAAAAGGTTACTTTGTATGCGATCTCTTGCGTTCTGGGCAAGGGCTGGTGGAAATCTGTCCTTTCCTAAAAGGAAATAAAGTTCCCTGCAAAACAACCACCCTTCCATTGGGAGTTACTATCTGCCATAAAGGTGAGTGAGCATTGTTTATAGTAGCAGCATAGTTTTCTATAATGCCACAGCTCCTTTTTGAGGGGTGGGGTTTCTTTTTTTCGCTCCTGCTTGTGATAGAGACTAAATCAAATAGGAATGAAGAGCGGTGTTTTCATACCCTAGTAGTTTTGGTCAGTACCTCCCATGTATGTCAGCATTGAATACCATGTTACCTATTCCAAGTCTACCATACAATATGACCCAATAACACTTGCATGTTAACTCACTGATTTCTTCTTGTGGAACTTGTAGGACGCTGGAAGATCATAGCGAAGCTCTGTAAATGGAGTGAAGTCACTTCAGGACAAATGGCTACAAAGGTTGCACACTCATTGTGTAAACTTTTCTTTTGTGCTGACATTTTCAGTAGATGTCTTTACAAGTAGCACCACATGATTTCCACAACTGACATTAGTTCTGTTACCAATTAAGCTCCAGGGCTCATTAATCTGGAAATAACTCTTCTGCATGGTATTTTATTCAAAGATTTAACACTAAAGGCCAAAAACAGTCTATTGTCATATCACTGTTCAAACTGTAATGTACACGTGAAGCCTGGAAATGCAGAAGTGGACGAGCTAGCTGTTTGGGTGCCAGAAACCCATTGGGCTTACACAGGGCAGGGGTAATCTCTGCATGACCCCATGGGAGGGATGTTTGCCTTTGTGGCCAAACACCAGCAAATGGTACAGGGGCAGAAAGGAAGTGAGTTTCTCACTTAACATACCTACAAGTACCAGGTATTTCTCTTCACTCCTAGCAGCCAAGGTAAAGTACAAGTTACTGCTAGGGTAGCAATTGGCTAGAACCTGCTGCTTTGCCTGTGTGGAGCAAACTTCATACCCCTCCGACAGTTACAGTAAAGAAGAATCCAGACCAGATGAGCACCATCTGTGTGCACAATACAGCTCCATAGAACTTATATCGGCTGCCCATGAAGTCTAAGCAGTACTGACTCACTTAACAAATTGTGCTGAAACTTACTAAAAGTCTATTAACTTGTTTAAAGTGAAGTCAGCTCTCCCATTAGGTGCTAGGTTTAATATTCCCAACTTTGAGCAGAAGGGTGCCTTGACTAAGCATGCTGAAAGCTGCTCTTATACAAACTGAAGCCTTTGTGAACAAGGGCCTATTAAAGGAGAACTATGGGGTTAAGGCTTTTCCCCATAGGGTAACGGGAGGACACAAACTAGCGCCCTCCCATCACCCTAGGCTCAGTATACTGCGAGCTGTAGGTCACCGTATACTGAGACGCTGAAGCGGATACCAACAATTGTGCCGGGATCCGCCCATCTAGAGGCAGAGCCAGCTGTACCCTCCCCTGTCTATTCCACCAGTCAGCGCTGGCGGATCGGGGGGGGGGGGGGGGAGCCGCGGGCGCCGACGC